AATCAGCAAGTTTCCTCTTAAATATTCTTTTTTAAAGCGGATTAACTTCTGAACTTTATTGCTTGAATGAAAATACTTCTATTCTTTTAATTAAAAATTATTTCATTTCCTCCCTTTCATGAGTGAGACTCACTTTATCGCGTCTGACTCATGAAAGATACGTTTCACTTACTTTCAACACTCAATGAACGAGATCAAGCCTTCGTTCTTCTATTCATACATTGACACTCAGAATATTTTTCATTTTTTTCATTATACTATGTGTTATTATTCTTTAACGTTATCTTCATCAATGTCACGATTAAAATTATTTTTCACTTCTGAAATGAGAATTCTCAATTATTGAGTTATATTACTTTTAAAAATATTAATGCGTATATATTGAAAACGATCGCAGAGATATTAATATATATTAATGGAATTCTTAAATATATTTTATGGCTCATTAAAAATTGTACGAAACATTTAACAGTATTATGAACTCCAATGAAACTTCGATCTGAAACAGATCAGTATATTTCCTTTAAAGGTCACAAACATGCAAATAATTTCGTGAAATCTGTATCGAGGATTCTATTTTAAACTTTGTCTAAATTTGCACAGCTACAGCACTCTTCTAATTTATTTCGTTTAAGATCGATTTATTGAATTAAAAATGGAAATTCAGCCGCTCGCAAATATTCGACAACATATTTTCTTCTTTGATTAATTCACTTTAATTCACAATCTCTTAATTAGTTTCGATAACATCCACCATTTTCATCGTACGTGTTTAAGAATGTATTAAAAGTACTAAAATTAAAGTTAATTTCATAATTATATTATTTGTTGTTATTTCTTATCGAAATGACCGAGTACAACATCATCGTCATCGTCATGAAAACCATCTAAAAAAGTCGACACATGATTTGTACAAAATGCACAACAATATTGAATTCCATTATTATAAATAAATTTTAATCTTGTATAATGGATTATAGAAGATTATTGTTGATGCATTAAGCAGATAACTAGAAGTTATGCATGATCGGTGATCGATCACAAGAACAAACAATTTCACGTTATTCGTTGATAATCATATATGTTCAGATGATACATAGAAGAGGCTATTATAATAAACAAACAATTTTATCGAAATGGCGACAAAGTTTTCGGAAAATGTACTACAGTATTAACGCAAATCTGTCAATTATTGTGCGAAAAAATGGGGGGAAAAAAAGGAATCAAAACCCAAAAATATTATAATATAATTAAAAAAAAACTATCATTGCGAAATTTCACATATTTCATATTTTCTCTATGATAGCATAGCATTTGCGATTTTTCATCATATCCAAAAGCTGTAGTAACATTTCACGGGGATAAAATTATTATCTCACATACATCAGTCAAACATACGATCAAAAAAAAAAAAAAAAAAAAACGAAATCTCGAAAAGTATGTCAAAAGGATAATAAATCTTTTTCCTTAATCCACCATACGTTCATAGTATTTAATTCGCGAATTACGTATACGATATAATAAGTGGTCCTGGCTATGAATTACTTTGAATTAAGCGTTTTTTGTGCTGTAACATTACGAGCGATAAATATTTTCTCCGGCTGAAAGAAACGACTAAGAGGAAAAGAAGTTATTTTAGTTGCATACAAGTTGGATGACGTTCGATGACGTTCGAAACTGGTTCCACTTCGTTTTATAAGATTTTTGTCGATAAAAGACACGCCAATAATAATATTTAAAATATTCCTACAACGATGGTAGACATTTACGATGCGTTCTATACGCATTCCATACACAGATACACATTCCTCTTCCAAATTGAATTTTTATGTTCCAGATAAGTTTAAATTCTTCAAGTGATGCTGAAGCACGTAGTCTCTCACAACGATAAAAATTTCCTTTAAAAGGAAACATTATTAACTTGTACGTAAAATCTCTTTGATCAACAACTCTATCATTTCATTCTATTATTTTCCACAAATATGTTAAATATGTTGATATATATGTCTTAAAATTTCCAGAATCACCAGAATTCCCCGTGATCATCGTCGTAAAAAGAAACCTTCAGTTCCCTATTTCTAGCCAATTCATTTCCAAAATCCAATTACCAATTGTTCTCTGAGCCACGATAAAATAGTTCTCGTTGAACGAGATGTTTATAAATGCTGCAATGAGGTTTTTTTACATTCAACTGTCGTCAAGAATGGCCCTTGAAACGAGCAAGAGGACACACGTTGATACGAAGATGGCGCGTCCTCGTGGAATAGTACACAGCGAATCGAAAGAGAAACCGGAGGACATTGCAGTGTTTGTAACCCAAAGCAAGGACATTCTCAGGTCCTACGAATCAGGAATGTCAAACTGGTCTGCGATATGTGAATAATATGCAGTTATTAATACTAAGCAACCGGGTTGTTAGTCTCAACTAAGGATATACGTATGAAGACCTTGCGAGAACTCGAGGCACTCGATGCCTAGCATGTGCCCTCAAGGTTCCCCGAATGTTACGGCCGCGGTCGTTTTTTGAACTTTCGTGTGTTCATAGGCTCAATTCGAAGGATCAATCACGACGACGATAATACCTCTCGCGAACATTGTGTATGCACGATGGAATAGATTTCACGCGTTTTGTGATAATATTTCAAGAACAAGAGTAATGACGTAAAATTGTGATGCAGTTGTAATTAACACGATAGTTACCGACTGTTGCTATAAATATTTTATTGTAGAATGATTAGAATAAAATAAATATCATCGACGAACAAATATTAAGTAATATATATAAAGCACTATAAAACACGCTTTTTATTGCCACGTAGTATAGTAACTCATAAAAATTAAATATTCCATAAGCAAAAAATTATAAATTACGTGCTGAAGAAATTTTGTTAACTCCTTTTTTTTTAATATATTTGAAACAAAAACACCTTTGAAATTTCTCTTATGCGTTACTTCATTTTTAAGTTTGTAGTGCTTTTTATTAGCAATTTCATGAAAATCTTGCTCGAGGAGAGAAGGATTCTCGACGGGAAATGGTAAACCAAAGGGTACAATTCTCGTTCGAATGCACGACGAGGAAGCTGTCAATACTAGTAGAATGGATCGGCCACGAATAATGTCGCGTTTGTTCATCAGTCGGGAAAACATTACACCGGCAGAGTGGGGACCGTGCATAAAAGTTAGCGTGCCCTGTGGCTCGACATCACTCGATGAGTGTTCACCAGAGAGTGGACAGGTTCTGTTACACAAGGCAACGATATTTTGTTTAAGGCTTGTGAAAGTTGCTCCTTAATCGGTCAACTATCGCGTTAATTCGTCCAACTTCGACGAGCTTCGAAAAAGAAATGCTGCGCCCGTGAGTATTCAAAACTTCGACGAAACTTCTGAATGAGTTACTGAATTACTGTCCGATTCTACCTGTTATTTGATATTATTTGTTATTACAGTTCATCTCAACGTTTGCAAATGTGTACGACATATATATATATATATATATATATATTTGTTTGCTAAGTTTCGTAACGAGAATCCAATTGTACGATGATTATCTACTTTTCATAATCATCAGATTGTACAGTTGTCGTGATACGAAATCATTTGGCGCACGATGAGAATGTATCAGTGTTTTGTTTTTTATTCTTTTCTTTTTTTATTTATAAGAAATTGATAATCACTGAAAGTCGCTGGATTTTGCAATATGTAGGAAGTTTTCTATCATTCAGATCAGATAGATTTTAATTACTATTCATTTTTAATTTCAACGAAAAATTAAATTAATTAAACTATATCTTTTGTTTGTTATACTGTATAATTATCTTTTCTTTTCAAGAAACAAGATATAATGTATATATCATCAATTAATATCAGCTAATAAGGCGTACGAATATGTCACGTATCTACATATTTTCTACATATCTTTTAAACAAAGTTAAGATAAATTGATTAGTATTGATCGAAAAATAATCAAGTTGCAACATTCGAATATCATCTGCCATTAGATTTCACAATCAAACGGAGATACAATTGCAACATTCTATCCTGTTGTTAATTTTTCCACAGAATTCTTACTTAGTTTCTGTTTAACTGGATTATAAAGTATGGATTTCCACTATTAATACAGGGGAAAAATACTTAAAAAGACTTTTTAATATAGTTGTCACTATTAATAATTTGGAAAATAATTTACTAGTAATAATAATTCTATAATAATAAGATAGGATTTCTCTAATAATAATATTCAGTTCATACTGATAAAGGGCTCTGAGCTATCAAATTTTTTTCGTACGCGACTAGTCAAAAGAATTCTCATAAATCCTCGTCAGTGATAAACTTAGTCATTTATCATTAGGCGTTTATCTGTGCACTTTTAAATGAAAAAAAAAAAACAAATTTGTGAAAGCAAGATTTACCTCGCTATTCTTATCACATTGTAGTAGTACGTGATTGATTGTTAGAAGCAATTATCTTATTGTAGCCGATTGAAAAATACAAAGAGCGCGGATGATTAAGGCACTATGACCACGCGATGTTATAATTTAACCCTCTTACTGCCATAGATGTATCATACGCATTAGAAGTCGTCTTATCCTGCCATCCGCGTAAACTTAATATCACATTGAATGAAATTTGTAAAATTCGTAAAATTCTTTTTATCGCGTTTTCCCTTCGAAACGAAACATTGCGAAAATTTCATTAACACAAATTTAACAAATCAATAAGAAAACATGTATATATAAAAGTTACGAGACAAACATACAGCGAATTAGTGTACAATCGTCTTAACTAAAATAAACGTCGAAATTGAATGTTTAAAATTCATTTAATATAATTTAATTACTTTTCTGATTTCTGCGAAATACGTACTTGATACTGCATTGTAATTTGTACATATTTTCAGGTTTCAAATCATGATAGTCTGATGTCCCATTATAATGCTAATATTTCGAAACGTAGAGCGGAGATCATTTGTTTCTCGTGAAAGATTTTTACAAGTGTTGAAAATGAATTACGAACTCGTTGAAGTCCTTCAGTTACCAGTTATGAAACTTCGCTATAATATCTCGTGAAGGACGATTTCTACATGCTCTTTCATGTACCATGATCCATTTTCCATCGATTCATTTCACGATTGAAAACTTTCGGATCGTTGGATCGAAACGATTGTGCTCGATCTTTGATCACTATTTGAGAAATTAACGTTACACGTTGATAAAAGATAGATGACGAAGTTCTTCGGTGAACAATTTATAGTCAAATTTATATATATTTGAAATTTGAATAGGATAACTGATAAAAATTCCTTCTTTTTTTTTAGAGACTCTTGCACTTCACAAACATTCCACAATTTTAGGAATGAAATTTCTATAACCATCTTCAATCCTACTGCTTTTTTCACACAATATTTTTCGTGTACTAATTTCCGATGTACATTTTCATACAGAGTTGATTAATTAATCACGACATATTAAACATATTAAAAATATTACAATTCTACAGACTATTGGTGGCGATCCTGGTGACGGTGGTGTTGGGAATACCAACGCCCGAAGATGCCAGTAACGCGGCAGCAGACTCGAAACAAGACCTCCAAGGGGCCAAACAATTTCTGGATCAACTCAACAAAGAATACGGGGAATGGAACAACAAGTACACGCTGGCAAATTGGGAGTACGCGACGAACTTAACCGAAGAGAACTTAGCTAAGAAGCTGAACATCTCGGCGGAGGTGGCACGGTACTTCAAATCCGCCTGGGAGAAAGTGAACGAATACCCTTGGAAGGACATTAAAGATTCAGGGATCAGGCGACAATTCAAGAAATTCAGTGTCCTGGGACGCTCAGCACTTCCCGAAGACGTAACAATATTATTTTATATTTCAATCTATGATACATTAAGTTTCCACGGTGCTTATCGTGACAAAGAGAAATTCCATTTGTAAATTCTGGAAATTTCATTAATGAGACACGACTGTAGAAGACGAGAGATATTTATTGCCAATAGTCTCTACATATTTGCATTAAGTATCTTGTCACTTTTATACAAATACATTTCATAGTTTACTATGTTAGTATAATCGCGACACAGCCGTGTGCTATGATGTTTCACGGTATAAAAACGTTCTCTACAAGCGTTCAAGTGAACGAGAATTAATTGGATACATTTTTTTTTTTTTTTTTTTTATTGCAGCGTTATCAAGAGTACGAAAAAATTATAAGTGACATGGAGAACATCTACAGCACTGCCAAAATCTGCGATTACAAGAACCGAACTAAATGTGACCTCGCATTGGAACCGGAACTGACGGAACTTCTGATGAAGAGCCGTGACCCCGAGGAGCTGAAATACATTTGGGTGGAATGGAGGAAAGCAACGGGCGAAAAAGTGAAATCATTGTACCCGAAATACGTTGAACTGAGTAACCTGGCTGCCACGTTAAACAATTTTTCCGACAACGCGGCTTATTGGCTGAAGGATTACGAGGCTGACGACTTCCCCGAGCAAATTGGTAAGTTAGATGTTAGAAGATAAATTGATATGAAAATAAGAGAGAAACAAACGTTTGAAAAAGCTGGAACAAGAAGTGCGAAGTAACAACAAATCTTCTGGACCAAAAACTTGAAAATAGTGCTCGTTTAACTAATGTAGAAGACTAGTCTGATGTTTTAAATTAACTTTTGAAATGAGTCGGGAAATCACTGGAGTATACAATTTTTACTTGTACAAAATATAAAATATTTTCAGAGGCACTCTGGCAACAGTTGAAACCTCTTTATTTGCAATTGCACGCATACGTTCGCCGAGAGCTTCGAACAGAATATGGTGAGAACGTCGTTTCGAAAGATGGTCCTATCCCAGCGCACTTATTGGGCAATATGTGGGCGCAAACTTGGACGAACATCGCAGACTTCGCTATCCCATACCCGGGAAAGCAAATGCCAGACGTCACTCATGCCATGATTAAACAAGGTTCGATTAGCGTTTAAATATAAATTGAAAAATATTGACGACAGGAACCGTACAAGTATTTATAAAGTGTAATCTTTAGTTATTTTGCTATTGCTAATATTGTATTTATATTTTAAATTTTAGTACAAAATTTCGAGTATTTTGTATTTGATATACAAGCACATAATATAAGTACACAATTCATCAAGTCAAATCCCAAAAGTTCGTAAATATTAATAGCATAAATTAACACGAAATGAATATCATGTTAATGCATGATGTAGATTAAAAGATATATGATTAAAATAATATAAAAGAAATATAGTATGTATGTAATACAAAAATATATATATACATATCAATTAATAAAATATTTGAAATATACTATATCAATATTTTATATAAATAAGTGGTATACAATTAATTCTACAAGTACAAGATTAAAAGTTGAATGCCAACGCTTACAGACAGATCTATTTAATTTTACAAATGATTCCTCAGGATATAACGCTACAACTATATTCCGTGTTGCCGAGGACTTCTTCACCTCGATCAATCTCACTGCAATGCCTGATCTGTTCTGGCAACGATCAATATTGGAAAAACCAAAAGATCGCGAATTAATCTGTCACGCGAGTGCCTGGGACTTCTACGATGGCAAGGACTTTAGAATTAAACAGTGTACCAGAGTTAACATGGAAGATTTGTTGACTGCACATCATGAGATGGGTCATGTGGAATATTATCTGCAATACAAGGATCAACCCAATGTTTTCAAGGAGGGTGCGAATCCAGGATTTCATGAAGCTGTTGGCGATGTTATATCACTCAGCGCATCTACACCGAGCCACCTGAAAGCCATTAAGTAAATAACACATTAATTATATATAATTTGGAGAATTTTACATATTTTAATTAGTCCGGGTGTAAACTCTATATATTTTTGAAACTATAATAATAGCGACAATTGGTCAAATGAAATTTTATCCATTTTGTTATATTTTAGATTATTAGATGATGATTCAACCGACACGGAAGCCAATATTAACCATCTTTTCTTGAAAGGCCTCGAAAAGATTGTCTTCTTACCATTTGCATATATGATGGATAAATGGCGCTGGAATGTGTTCCAAGGAAAAGTCACATCAGACAATTATAATTGCAATTGGTTAGTATTATCGCTAAGTTTTATTTAATTAAGCTACAATAATTGAAATTTGGAAAAATTATAAAAAAATTGATTTAATTTATAATTAGGTGGGATCTTGCTGAAGAATTTCAAGGCATTGAACCTCCAGTAGATCGATCAGAAGATGACTTTGACCCTGGTGCGAAATATCATATAATAGCTGATGTTGAGTATATGAGATATTTTGTGAGCTTTGTGGTGCAATTCCAATTCCATAAAGCACTTTGTATTGAAGCAAAACAATACAATCCACAAAATCCAAATTCAAAACTACTACATGAATGTGATATTTATAATAATAAAGCAGCTGGAAATCTATTGAAGTAAGTTTCCATTTTTCCAATTCTATAATTTATTTTATATAAAATTGCTAGTATCTATCAAAGCTTATCACTATAGGAATATGTTGGAATTGGGATCTTCTAAACCTTGGCAAGATGCAATGGAAAGAATCACAGGTCAGAAAAATATGGAGTCTGCTGGACTCTTAGAGTACTTTAAACCATTGACAGATTGGCTTACAGCAGAAAATAAAAAAACTAATGAATATATTGGATGGAAACCGAGAGCAAGACGTATGTATATTTGCAATAAAATACAATTTATCTTTATCTATATATACAATCTATATAATCGAATAATTATGCAATACAGAAATATATGCTAATTTATCAAATTTTGTTTATTTCAGAATGCGTACAAACTAGATCAGAACTCGCATCTTTTGAAGAAAAAACTGAAGCAAATGAGTAAAAAAAATATATCCTTTTGAATATTATTTCAAAAAAGTTACTTGTCCATTTTGACATAAAAGATGCATCAAAAAGTGATTTATGATATCATTTTTTGCAAAATAAAAGATAAAAATATATAAGTGTTAGGAAATGATAAATTCTTACTTTCTTCCAAATAAAAATCACATTCCAATTTTACATTTTTGTATTATTTTGCTTTTCCTCGGCCTTTTCCACGTTTACTAGGCTTATTACTATCTTTTTTGCCTTTCTCCTCAGTTTTATTAGTATTTTTAGCCTTTGATTCAATATTCTTGCTTGTACCAGCTTTTTTTGCCTGAAATGCATTATAATAAATAATATCATAATTATATACATATAATCTTAATAATGTAAATTATTTTCTAACAAACCTTAATCATTTTATCTGTATCAACATTATCGTCATTTTGATCAGAATCCACTTCTTCTTCCTCTTCTACCAAGAAATCTTCTTGTACGCTTGATACTGCTTTTTTCTTTGATGTATCACTCACTATATATGGTACAGCTACAGAATTTTTATTATATGCCCTTGTAAAAGCAGCTTTTACCTATAAGATGAATTTTTGCTACACTATTTCATATCTGAATATGTTAAAATGATTGAAAACTATTTAAAATTTATAACATACCTTACTATCTACAAGTTGAAATGGATCACGATCACCAGGCCACAAAGAAATTTCTACCAAAGAATCTAAATCTTCCCTATTAATAACAAAAATAATAAAGTTTAACGACAAAAATTAATACTATAAAACATTAATATTTATATAATAAATTTTAAAGAAATATTGACCTGAGTAAATGATAATTGTTCATAACATCTATTGCTGCATTTACATTTTCAATACCATCAACTACTAAAGGTCTGATAATAGTATTTGTGAGAGGTTTAATGTAATCTAAATTTATAGCCTCCTTACTTGCACCAGTAGCCAAACGTGCATGTAAAGTAATTTCCTGCATTAAACTGCAAATCATATCGTTAAGAATTTTATATAATAATATAATAATAATTGATAGAAGAAACTATTAACTATAAAATTACCGATTAAATTTACCAGCTTTTGAATTACGTCCAAGCCAAGCTGGAAAACTAATTTGACCACCAATGTGACCAGACATTATTGTTCCAGGAATTACAGAAGAATAACAAGCTTGTACTGATAAAAGAGACCAAGCATTATTACTTCTTATAGATTTTTCAACTATATCTCCTAGTGCTAAACTTTCAGCACTTTCTGCTATTCTTTCTAACAATTTATTTCTGTATAAAAATATAAAAATAACATTAAATGTAAATAATGTTGAAATTAATTGATTTTTTTAAATTATGAATATTTTTTTATAATTTCAGGCATATACGACAACAATTTAAATTGTGTAGTTCATATAAAAAGGAATAAATATATCATTTTACAGAAATACCTACTTTGGAGCTTGCGGTATAACTAGTAAATAATTTTCTTGCACAAATAATGGTGCTATGTTGTAATCATGAAAAAATAAATCACTCTTATCATTTATATTCATGTGTTTATGTTCTTCTACGGAAAATACTTTCTTTACAACATCCCAAGGACCCAATTTCAAATCTTTGTTTATATGTTTCTTTTCGTTTTTCTCTTGAGAACCAGTTTGTCCAAGAAATAATGCCAAATGATTAATAACTTGACGAATATCCTGATTAGTTGATTCGATTAAACGATCAAGATCTTCATTCGAAATTGTAATATTTTCTTTAAAACATATAGATTTCATTGCAGCCTGTATATAAAAAAGGAGCTATCAAATAATGTAAATAATAATAAAGTATTTTGAATTCGGTGTTATTTTACCCTAATTTGTTCCAATCTAGGTTTTGGAAAACGGAGATCAAATGTATAATTAGCAAGCGTTCTCATTTTAGGATTATTTCGATCATTGCAAATACAAACAATAGGTATATCAGTTGATTTGATCAAATTAATTAATTCCTGTAGACCACCACGATCCTCATTACCGGCCATTCCATCCACTTCATCCATTAATAATACGTGTCTCAATGATGGTTTATTTTTAACATCTGTAATATTATTATTATAAAATATATGTCAACAAAAATTTAAGCTATTTTTTAGCTATTTTAGAAATGTTTACAAATAAATATACCTTGAAAATAATTTTTTAACGTAGTGTTAGATAAAAGTTCTGATACTTCTTCTTTCAAAAGCTTTTTACTTCTAGTATCTGATGCATTAAATTCTATGAGATCAAAACCTAACTCATTACAAACAACTTGGACAGTTGTAGTCTTTCCAATTCCAGGAGGACCAGATAATAAAGCAGCTTTGAAGAAAGCTCCATTATCATTTTTTGCCCAAGGGCCTAACATAAACAAAATTAGTAAAAGTTTAAGTTGTATTAAATACTAGAAATGTTTTATCCATGAAAAGTAAAATAATTACTCGGTCTTGTATGTTTCACTTGACCACTTTGATTTTTATGCCAATTCACTAACCAAGTATATATTTTTTTAGCATTACTTTTGTCTCCTTGTTGTCCTAGTACTTGTTTCATAGTTTTTGGCCTATATTTTTCAACCAATGCTTGCACTGGCATGTTTTCATTTACCTAAAAAAAAAATTTAATATAAAACTTTTATTTTATTTAATGTAAAAGTAGTTAAAAAGATTAACATTATTTTTGTTTTATTTATATATTATTTCTTACATCTTGTGAAATGTTCGTTTTTATATCTTTTATATCATTTATCTCTTCTTTATTTTGTACAACCGATTCTTTATGTTGATCTTTATGTTGCTTCTCAATCAAAGGTTTTACTTTTATATCTTTATTATTAAATTCTTGTATCTGTGACGATACTTTCAAGGAGTCTTCAATTTCATTATTACTACTTTCCTTTTTGCGCGGTGAACATATTTTTGTTATCTTTTCCGTTTCTTCATTTGAAGTAATTTTTACTTTCTTTAATGTTGATGTTTCGTCTGATTCCATCGATCTTTTCTTTGATTTCTCTTTTGATTTTACAGGAGATTGCTTTGTATTATCAGATTCACCAGCAGGTCTTGTTCGTATTAGTTCTAATAAATCATCTTCTGATATCTTCTTTATATTTAAGCTATTAGCCTAATCATTAGTTTAAATCATTAACAAACTGAATTTTGTGTACATAATACAATCAGTCTGAATAAAATTTAAATATATTAATATTTCTTCTTACTTTTGACAATTTCGTAGGACCAGCTTGATCACCTACTATAACATAGTCAGTCTTTTTTGAAATTTGATGTAAAATTCGTCCACCATATTTTTTAATAAGTTCATCAGCTTCTTCTCTTTCTAAAGAATCCAAAACACCAGTTATTACAAAACTTAATCCTACCAAGCAATTTTCAGCGCCCTGAAATTTAATTACTTTTGTCTTTCACATATATACTAAAACATTTTTGAAAAAAATTTTTTTACAAGTGATATTGTCCGTTTACTACATACAACAGGGATTTCTTTTGAACCTGGATTTCTGGCTCCTCCTCTTTGAAGATATTGCTGATACATTGCAGCATGTTGTTTCCTTTTTTCAATTTTTTCTTCATATATATCAGATGTATCTATCTTTTTGGGAGAAGTTTTCTTTGTTTCTTTATCTTCAACTTGCATCTTACAAATAGTAGAAGTTTTAGATTTCTTTGTCTGTCTAGATTTACTATTGTGTTCGGAAGTCTTATGTTCAATATCTTCATTTGAACTACTACTAGAATGTTTTTTATTCTTTGATTCATGTCTCTTATTATCTTTTCCTTGATTTGGTTTATTAAATGTCTTTTTCTTTTCATTTTCTTCATTTTTCACAGGCGATTTTCCTTTATTTTCAACACTGCTCTCAGATAATTGAGAATCTAATAAATATAAAAAAATAATATATTAACACAGTATATTAACACTAAATTTGATATATTGTTTATTGCAATTTGCTTATATTGATACCTTCATCGATCTTAGTGTCAGTTAAATATTTCTGTTCAATATCAGATGTATCTAATTGACATAAAGTAGCTTCAAAATCATCATTATTATGACCTTCAGCCTCCTACAATATTGAATAAAATTAATGTATGTTACTTAAAGTAATTAATACAATTACTTTATAACATTATTAAAATATTATTATTACCTTCTTTTGTAACGATTTAGATATCCTAGCTGTTTTTATAGATTTCTATAATATTTAATAAAATCAATATATTTTTTAAAAAATGGTTCAAAAGATTTTAAAATAGAAAGTTCACATAAAATTAAAAAAAAAATCTAATGAATATACACTAAAAAATTAATATATTCTCAAAGTTATAAATAATTTTTAATTTTAGTTAAAGCAAATGACTTATTTCCTTTGGAAACTATCATTTGTCATTACCCTGTATACATATTACCTTCTTTTGTTTAGATATTTTAGGTGCTTCTTGCCTGCTTACTGGTGTTTTACCAAACATATCAGCAGGAGAAAGAACTTTAATATTTTTGTCGGAATCAGAATCGATTATCTTCTTTTCCAATATCTCTGTTTTCTAAAATAATCAAATCATATTGGATTAAAATTATTGAAGCAAACATCAATTTTTTTGTTTTAAAAACAAAGGATAACTTTGAAAAGTTAAGTCATGATAAATAAATATATTGAAACCTTGGACCGCTTAAGCGGTGACTGAGGCTTCTCATCTTCATCTTCATCAGATGAAATAATCCGTCTTTTAGTAGGTTTCGACGGAGCGATATTGGAGCTCGTTTTAATAGGTTGGAAATAGGATCGTATATCCTAGAAAGAAACAGAAAGCATTAAACTGCGGAATCAGAATTCCAGTTTCAATAAGTAATTCTAAAATGTGATGGAAACAAATGCGTTTAACCTCAATTGTTGGAATTTCGTCGAGAATTTCCAAACTTACTTTTGACATCTTTCAAACGTATCTCAATTTAATAGAGGCACAGTATCTAAATCAACTGAATAATATTTCATACAATAAAAATTAACAAATAAAAAAACACAATATTACTGCATCGCATCAGTGCGCGCTTTTGCGATACACTATTGCAGATTGTGATACGTAAATACATGTGTACGTACACATGTAACTTCGAATTACAGATAAATCTAAAACTATTTATATACAATGTCTATTATACGAGATAGAAAAAAAAAATGAAGATTACTTTAGTGAAAAAAAATAGAAATGTTGAACTATCGTAAGAAAATCTTGTGTAAATACTTTACTGTTCAATTATAGTATACGCATTAATTAATTCGCCTTAAGAATGTATGTATAAAACTGTCAAATTCGAGATGGCACCACAAGAAGAGAACAACACGTGTTTCAAGAATTCTCTTCTTGTCCCTGATAACTTATGTGAAAAGGTATGTATATTCTGTAATAGTTAAAGATTTATTTACTTTGTTGTTTATTTTGCTTAATATAATTATTATTAATTTATAAATAAATTTATACTTTGCAGTAATATACTCATATAATATATCGTATCGTGAAGAAATAACGTTAACCTTCACAATGGTAAAGGAACAATTTAGAGAAACAGACGTAGCTCGAAAAATGTATGTATGAAATTACTTTAATTCACTTTAATGGATTTTTTAAAATTGTTTTCATTATTTTTAGGAAAATAAATAACATGTAACTTTTGTATTATAAAATAACCGAATCTTTTATCGTACCTATTTATCTAATTGAATGTTTTGGCTAATAGAAAACATTAAATAATAAGACTAACGCTTTTATATTTAACTGGTATATCTTGTTTTTCTTTAACTTTATTCATTTTCACTTTTTAGCTCTCATATATCATTTGGAGTGGATAGCCGCCACAACATGGAAAGGCAAGCCCATATACATGTTGTGGCAAAAAATTTATACAATCAGGATATTGAACATACTCCAGTTCCATATGGAGTTCTTGATAGGAGGATGGTAATTAGAATATAAGAAAATGTTTTTTATATATTAATACATTCTTTATAAATAATTATTAATGTTAATATTCAAGGGAACTTGCAATAATATTACTAATTGTGTATCATGTGGTAAAATTTTAAGTGAGTGTATTGGACATTTTGGCTACATTGATTTGGAATTGCCTGTTTTTCATGTTGGTTATTTTAAATCCATCATTGGTATTCTTCAAACTATTTGCAAAGTAATTTACCATTTACTTTATTTAACATTAAATTGATCAAACATGATAATTATAACATCTTAATTTATAGAATTGTTCTCATGTTTTGCTATCTGAAATGGACAAAAAGCATTATTTAGCTAAGGTAGTAAATCCTAATTTGGGATACTTAGCACGTAAAACACTACGTAAACAAATTTTGAATAAAACTAAAAAAATAACAGTTTGTCAGCATTGTGGAGATCTTAATGGAGTTGTTAAAAAATCTGGTTTACTTAAAATAGTTCATGAAAAATATAAAGCAAAGAGGAAAATAGATGCCATTGTTCAAGAAAAATTAGCAGAATATAACAATGTGCTTGAGGATAATAAAGCGTTAGAAGGAATACTTCAAAGTGGATTGGTCAATGTATTAAATCCTTTAGAGGTAAAAAAGAAACTTCATTTGTAATATTTTTTTCTAATCATTTTCTCTTTTTGTAAAACAGTATCATAATTTAAGGTACAAGCAATTTTGGAAAAAATACCAGAAAGTGATATTCCTTTATTAATGATGAATACAGAGTGTGCATTGCCAAAAGATTTAATATTAACAAGAATTCCTGTCCCACCAATGTGTATTAGACCCAGTGTTGTGTCTGATATAAAAGCTGGTACAACAGAAGACCATTTAACAATGAAATTATCAGAAATAGTTTTTATCAATGATGTTATTCAGAAACATAGACAAAGTGGAGCTAAAGTGCAAATGTACAATGAGGATTGGGAATTTTTACAACTACATTGTGCTCTTTATATAAATAGTGAAATGTCTGGTATACCCGCTAACATGCAAGTAAGTTACAAAGAATTATTGAATTAATTTTTTGCTTTGAAATATTAGTAATAAGTTGTTGAAAATTCTAGCCAAAAAAATCAGGAAGAGGATTGGTTCAAAGGTTAAAAGGAAAACAGGGTCGTTTTCGTGGCAATTTATCTGGTAAACGTGTGGACTTCTCTAGTCGTACTGTTATTTCACCAGATCCTAATCTTAGAATTGAACAAGTCAGTTTTTGTTTAATAATAATATTATTGTAATAAATTATTAATAAATGATTTTGAATATTTAAATAATATGTTTTATATTTCTTAGGTTGGTGTACCCATTTACGTCGCCAAAATTTTAACGTATCCCGAAAAAGTTAATCCATCAAATATAGAACTAATGAGGAAACTTGTAAGAAATGGTCCAGATGTACACCCAGGTGCAAATTTCATACAACAGGGAAAAACACAATTTAAAAAATTCTTAAGATATGGTAATCGACAAAAAATTGCTCAAGATTTACAGGTAATTTTGCATTAATTTTTATGTTACAATGAAAATCATACTAATCTAAGCTTCCTAACAATACCTGTTGGTCTGCAAATAATTATATATATTTTGTTCAATAGTATGGTGATATCGTTGAAAGACATCTGAGAGATGACGATGTAGTATTATTCAATAGACAACCATCTTTGCATAAATTAAGTATTATGGCACATAAAGCAAAAGTATTAGAACACAGAACATTTAGATTTAATGAATGTGTTTGTACTCCCTATAACGCTGATTTCGATGGCGACGAAATGAATTTACATCTTCCCCAAACTGAAGAAGCAAGAGCAGAAGCTTTAATTTTAATGGGGGTAATATATAAATTTTATATTAACTATATTTTATTGTGTTAACGTATAAACTACTAAATAATTTTATATATTGTTATTTACTTATTTAGAATAAATCAAATTTAGTTACACCACGTAATGGAGAACTTTTAATAGCTGCAACACAGGATTTTATTACCGGCGGATATCTTTTGACACAAAAGGACATGTTTTTAAATAAAGCTCAAGCAAGTGCATTAGCTGGTTGTCTTTTAGCAGGACCTGATATTGCTATGTCTATAAATCTTCCTGAACCAGCTATTTTAAAACCAACTATGTTATGGACAGGAAAACAAATCTTTAGTTTAATTTTAAAACCTAACAACACTTGTAACATTAAAGCTAATTTAAAAACTAAAGGAAGAGCTTATACTACTAACGAAGAACTGTGTATTAACGATTCTTGTGCGTATACTTCATTAATGCATACAATTTTATAATAATAATTATAATAATATTTTTTAAAACTATAGGATAATAATGAAAGTGATGAAAATTGCAGATGTTATTATACGGAATTCAGAATTATTAGCAGGAACCATGGACAAATCAACTTTAGGTTCGGGATCAAAACAAAACATATTTTATATCCTATTACGTGATTGGGGTGAAGATATTGCAACAACAGCTATGTGGCGACTAGCAAGACTGGCAAGTTTCTTTCTTATGAATAGAGGTTTTTCTATTGGTATTGGGGATGTTACACCTGGACAAGCACTTCTTAAATCTAAAGAAGAACTTCTGAATGCTGGGTAAGTGTAGTCTTAAATGTCACAAATAAAAGTATTTACAAATAATATAGATTTGTTTTCTTTTTAATTGTGATTTAGATATTCTAAATGTACAGAATACATTCGTCAAATGGAAGAAGGGCGTCTTATATGTCAACCTGGTTGTTCAGAGGAAGAAACATTAGAAGCAATGATATTAAAGGAACTTTCAGTAATTCGTGATCATGCTGGTAAAGCATGTTTAAAAGAACTTCATCCAAGCAACAGTCCATTAATTATGGCATTATCTGGCAGTAAAGGAAGCTTTATTAATATTTCTCAAATGATTGGTATGCTTATCAATATATATGTAATATGCTTATCAATACATATGTAATATTTATACACATAACTAACAAAACTATTTTATTATTGAATGATAATTTATTTAATATTTCAATATTTTCATTCTGATTAGCATGTGTGGGGCAACAAGCTATCAGCGGTCATAGAGTTCCAAATGGATTTGAAGATAGAGCTCTGCCACACTTTGAAAGACATTCAAAGATTCCTGCAGCTAAGGGTTTTGTAGAAAACTCATTCTATTCTGGTTTAACACCAACTGAATTTTTCTTTCATACAATGGGTGGAAGAGAAGGCCTTGTAGATACAGCAGTTAAAACTGCAGAAACTGGTTACATGCAACGACGATTAGTTAAAAGTTTAGAAGATCTGTGCCTTCATTATGATATGACAGTTCGTAATTCAGTGGGAGATATTGTACAAATATTGTATGGTGGTGATGGTTTAGATCCCACATACATGGAAGGTAGGATATTATTCATAATATTGACTATGAAATAATAAAATAATTATTTTAATAGGAAAAGACTGCCCAGTAGATTACAAGAGAGTATTAGATCATGTAAGAGCCAAATCGCCATGTAAAAATGAGAAACCGCTAGATAGTTTTGATATAATTAAAGCTACAAATGAATTATTAAATTCTAAAGATTATGAATGTCTTAGTGAAGAATTTAAACAAGAATTATCGTGAGTACGACATTTATTTCAGTGAAATATTACTAAAAAGAAATTATTAAATATTACTTACTCTTGTAGCACATTCCTCAAAAGTGTAGCACGTAAAATAATACGTCTTCGACATAATGCTCCATCAAACATACCTGTAATTTTTCAACTTGAACGACTCACAGTTTCCCAGTTAGTTGAATTTATTCATACCTGTAAAGAAAAATATATGAAAGCAAAGATAGAACCAGGTACTGCTGTGGGTGCACTTGCCGCACAAAGCATTGGAGAACCGGGTACGCAAATGACATTAAAAACATTTCATTTCGCCGGTGTAGCATCTATGAATATTACTCAAGGTGTACCACGTATTAAAGAAATTATTAATGCAAATCCTAAAATTAGTACTCCGATCATCACAGCAGCTTTAGTAAGTTCTCTATTTAAGTATATTATAATACATTTCAAATTTTATACGAAAAATGAATATATTTCATTTCTTGTTTCATTTTGATATTAGGAAAATGAGACAGATCCGGAATTTGCTAGAAAAGTAAAAGGCAGAATTGAAAAAACTACTTTAGGAGAAGTGACAGAATATATTGAAGAAGTTTATTTACCAGATGATTGTTTTCTATTGATCAAATTAGACATTGATAGAATAAAATTATTAAAGTTAGAAGTAGATGTTAACTCCATACGTTATTCGTAAGTGTATCAATTTATATTTGTAATATAAAAGAGAATGTTTCATAACAAAAACTGACCTAAAGTAGTATACATTTAATTTATACAGAATTTGTACATCAAAATTGAAACTGACTCCAAAATTAGTAACTGTGAGAGGAGATTCTATCATCACTGTGAATCCAAATAAAACTAAATATAGCTTAAATCATGCTCTTTCGCTGCTTAAAGATATGATTCCAAATATTGTTGTAAAGGTAAATCAGAAAAATACACATATTATGAATAAATATTCTAATTATATTTAATTTTAAAATTGCATGTTTCTCTTGCTCTTGTATAATTTGCAGGGCTTACCATCAGTTTCTAGAGCTGTAATTCATAATGATGATTCAAGTGGTAAAACAAAATATAAATTGTTTGTAGAAGGAGATAATATGCGAGAAGTGATGGCAACTCTTGGCGTTTTAGGCAAAAATACAACTTCAAACAATACTATTGAGGTAAATATAAAATTTTTTTATTTACTTGTTCACTATATAAATATGATGTTTTAGGTTTTCAAAACACTAGGAATTGAGGCTGCAAGAACAACTATAATGACAGAAATCAAATTAGTAATGGAAAATCATGGAATGAGTATTGATCGAAGACATCCAATGCTTGTAGCAGATTTAATGACTAGTAGGGGAGAAGTACTAGGTATTACAAGACAAGGTTTAGCTAAAATGAAGGAATCTGTGCTAAATTTAGCTTCGGTAAAATGTTAAATATATTTATATTTTTTATATTATATTTAAATGTCATATACTAATAGATAATTATTTAACAGTTTGAGAAGACAGCCGATCATCTATTTGATGCAGCTTATTATGGACAGAAGGATATTATTTGTGGTGTGTCTGAATCAATAATAGTGGGTATTCCTGTTCCTGTAGGAACGGGAATCTTCAAATTACTTCATAAATATCCTTTTCAAATTTATTTCTTTAAATTCAAAAGAATTAGTTTCAATTTTATATATTTTACATATTTTTTCAATTTTTAATATATTTTTAATATATTTTCCTTAATAATGAAACACAGCTGATAAAGATGAACCAATAAAGAGAGATTTAATATTTGATGATCCACAATTCAATAAAGTTACAAAATTGTAAATTAATTATTATGTACTTTATAGAAAAGAATTTTATGTAAATAAATGAAAAGATTTCAATAGTTAAGATTAAAATACATATATCTCTAAATATAAATGTGTACATGTGTTGCTAGGGAACATGTTTGATCCATAATTGTTGTATATTAAATTACTGTAATACAGTATGTCCAAAACAAATCAGCAATATTAGATACAGTTTTATAATTTTAGTATCTTTTTAATGAATAAAATTGTATTCTATAATATTTTATTTGTCAAATCATTTTTTGATTAAATATTAACGTAAAAAAAGTGTATCGGAATGGTAAATGAAACAAAATTTTGGAATGAAATCCGGAAAGACTTATCAGGACATAAAAAAAAAAAACCCAGAATTGTTCCTGCTTTTACCATTCAAGCTTTACAGGTAATATTTCAATATTGTAAAAATTATATTTACGTGGCTTGATATTTATTTATAATATATTTAGGAAAACACTATAGTTGAAAAGCCTCCTCGATATGAATTATATAAACCACAACCACCTAAACCATCAACTTTTCGAAAATTTTATGAATGGGGTGTATTTCCAGTTGCATTGGAAAAGGATAGTTACGGCATAAAACTTAGCTGGAAAGTTAACATCGAAGATTTAGATTTCCATCATTATTTGCCATTATTTTTTGATGGATTAACAGAAACTGAACAACCAATTAAGTTCATAGTAGAACAAGGAATATCTGATATGTTAGAACATGGCGGTCCTAAAATTTTACCTGTTGTGCCACAATTAATAATTCCCATTAAAAGTAACTTATTTTTTATTAATTTATTATTTTAATATTTTATAATTTAATTTTACAAATTGTGTGATTTTATGAATTTTTGTTTATCATAGAAGCCTTAAATACAAAAATGCCAGAAGTTATATGTACAACACTGAGAACTATTCAACATCTTGTACGTTCAGCAGATTGTGTTGGAGAAGCTTTAGTACCATACTTTAGACAAATCTTACCAGTACTTAATTTATTAAAAGATAGAAATGGTAAGATTTTAATTTATTGTAATTGATAAAAATGATACAAATTAAATTTTATATTCCAGTGAATCTTGGAGAAGGTATTGATTACTCGCAACAAAGAGGTGAAAACGTCGCAGATATAATACAAGAAACTCTTGCATTACTTGAAATATATGGAGGTGAAGATGCTTTTATAAATATTAAATATATGATTCCTACATACGAATCTTGCATGATGAATTAAATATTTTTTATTTATTGTCCATTTAATAATGATTTTAAACTGTAAAATTTTAGAAGTACGAAAAGATGTATGTTATCTTAAACATCATTGATAGTTATAAAACATAATATATATCATACATAATGTTTGAATGCATATAATTTTATTTACACTTTTCCTGTATCTTCTTTTAATGTTACTGTTCTGTTAAAAACAAGCTATAAAAAATAAATATAATTAATAATAATATTAATATTTATATTATGATTATAATTACCTTTTCCGATGTTGTGTTTGGATCTACAGAGAAAAAGCCAATACGTTCAAATTGAAATTTGTCAAAAATTTTTGCTGAATTTGCCAAACTTGCATCGATATATCCAACAATTTCTTTTTTGCTGTATGGATTAATGTCACTCAAAAAACCGTTTGGTACCTCATTAGGATCTTCAGGATTTTTATGTTTAAATCTAAACATTATGATATAAACAAGCAAGAAATTATAATTATTATATTAATAACAATAAATTATTATATTAACCTAATACTCACAAACGCTCATATAATCTAATGGACGCCAATAGAGGGTTTGATACCCAGTGTATGAAAGCTTTAGGCTTGTTAGTTTCACAAATGGGTTCTTGTGTAACAATCAGATTTACAATATTACCCATATTATCTTTTTTGATTTCTTTAATTTTTAATACTATCCCTACGTGTTTTAAACCAACAGATTGATTTAATGTTAAACGTCTAAAATCTTTTTCCGTTTTCTGTAAATACATAACATTTTTAATGAAATGATAATAAATCTTTAAACTGAATGAAGTATTATATACCTCTTTGAAATCAGATGCTTCAATATATACAATTTCATCAAAAACAATGTCGTGTTGTCCTTTATCTGGTTCATTAGGAAAGTTAGGAACTGTTAGTTTTATAGCATTTTCATGAGGAAAATTACTAATGGTTACTTTTAATGGTTCTAGAACTACCATATGTCGACTTGCAGTTAAATTTAAAACATCTCTAACAGATGCCTCTAAAACGGCTGGATCAATAATTGCTTGAGCACCAGTTATACCCATCTGTGCACAAAAATTATTTATAGCTTCAGGTGGAAAACCTCGTCTACGAAGAGCTGTTAATGTGAATAATCTACAAAAAATATACATAATAAATATTAAACATTTACGTTTTCAAATATATTGATATAATAAACTTTTACATTTATACGATATTAAAAAATACCTTGGATCATCCCAATCAGATACAATACTCTCCTCAATTAACTTACTGATTTTTCTCTTAGAAACAACTGTATAGCATACATTTAATCTACCATATTCCCACTGCACAGGACAATAAATGTCTAAAGTATTACAAAGCCAATAATAAGATGATCTCCTTGATTGAAATTCCTTTGTGCAAAGAGAATGAGTTATATTTTCTATACTGTCACACAAACAGTGTGTAAAATCGTAAGTTGGATAAATACACCATTGATCTCCTGTTCTATGGTGTGGACTATATTTTATTCTGTATGCAACTGGATCTTGTTTCCCTTCTTCTAATGTTACTTTCATTCGTAATGTAGCTTCACCTTCCTCAAGTAACCCATCTTTCATATCCTATTATAAAATTATTATAAATTGAAATATTTCATGATATAATTTAAAATTTTTTTATGATATTAATTTATCTGAAAAAAATAATTATTACATTAAATAGTTGCAAGTTTTCTGAAATAGGTCTGTCACGCCAAGGACTTGGAGGTGGATTAAAACCTTTTATTTCTTCACTAGATTGATGACAGACATATGCTAAGCCTTTTTCAATAAGAACTATGGCCCATTCATATAGTTGTTGAAAGTAATCAGAAGAATGGGTAATTTTAGCTGGCTTATAACCAAGCCATTCTACCATTTCACGAATACCAACAAAAAATTTTTCTTCTTCTTTTTCAGGGTTTGTATCATCATAACGTAAATAACATATTCCATTATGGGCTGCTGCATATCTACAATGAAATTATTGCTTGAAATATAATTCAGAAAATGATACTGATTATATAAATATAATCATCATATAAAAAAAAATCATATAAAATGTAGCATACCCAAAATTAATATTAATTGCTTTTGCATGACCAATATGTAAAATTCCATTAGGTTCTGGTGGAAATCTAGTTATTACTTTGCCCTTTGTTACTCTTAAATGTTCTTGAACTAATTTATGTGTATTTGGTGTTATAATATATCCTTCAGTTTTATAATTTTCACCTGGTTTATGAAAATGGACTTTAGTTTTCATTAATTCACTTATTGTCTGAGCACCTATTTTCTCATTTGCTGGTGTAGTACCAGTTTCAGCACCAGATTTACTTTTTTCTTTTTCTAACTTTGTTATTTTTGTTTGTTTTGCTTGTTTAGGTAATGGTACAAGATCAGAATCACGTTTTGGACCTAACAAATCAAGCATTTGGACATCAAATTCATTTTTTATTGCTTTTCCATCTGCCCATTTTAAAGTATTACGCACTTGTTGCATCAATGGACCAACATTAAAATGATACCTATAGAATAATATTTTATTTTATAAAATACAGAAAATTCATAATTCATTTAATCGAATATTAAATTTTGAATGTTAGTATTAAGTTAACACATATACCTTTTTTCTATTATTTCCATTTTATGTGCACTTATTACTTTTTCCACTTCATATTCTATTTCTTCTGGAGATATAACAATACCTACGCCGCATTCTTTCTCAAAATCAGATACATCAATATTTCCTTCGACTTGATTAAGTAAATAATTTAGTCCAGTATCCAATCTTTGAGTCGTATCTAATTTCTTTTTAGCTATGTATTGAGCAAGAAATGCTAATTTATCTGCAATTTGAGTCTTAATTTTTGAAGCAAGATGATATAACAAAATTCCAATCTCTGATGAAATGATTCCATATTTATTAGCCTATAAACATAACACATATGGTACAATGAAACGCTACAAGGGTATAAAATATGTTGCAAAATCATATTTTTCTTAATTATAAACAATATATAATTATAAATATAAAAATTTATAATGTACAATTCATATTTGCATCATTAAACAATCAAACGTAATTTAAAAAATATGCCTATTTAAATAACTAACCTCTATTATAGCAAGTCTTAAATTATTAGAAACTTGCTTATTTTTTAGAGTCTCTTTAGCTTTTTGTTCACTTAAACCAACAGATTGAAATAATTTTATGTCATCTTGTGATTCCATTGTCATATTTTTATCTTCCCTTCAATATCTAATTTAGTATGATTTTGAAGCCGGGAAACAAAACACGTACAACATATACGTGTACAAGATACTTGGTAAAAGTGCTTGATAAATACAAGAATTTTGGGGCAATATTGCGATAAAGTATGTAATCTTTATTAAAGGAATTGTTGTATCTTTCCAAGTATTAAAACTTATATATTTACTGCTATCTTTATCTTTTACAACCTATCAAAATTACGTTTTTTATATTTTATTAGAGAAAATGCGATAAGTTGAAAATGTAGAAGTATTAACATTAATAACAATTATATTAAACATGTATTTATTAATAAGTACTTTTATTTATTATTTAAAGTT